TGTGTGTGTGTGTGTGTGTGTGTGTGTGTGTGTGTGTGTGTTTCTGGCAGAGATTAGGGAAAAGGGGGTGGATTGGAAGAGATTTTTCCCATGAGAATGGGGAACACAATGCTTGTAGGGTGTGATTTATCCAGGCTGCCCTCTCCTGTTATCTCTGCAGCCTTTGCGGAAACTTGTGGGGAAAGGTTAGGTTCACTAAGATATGCTTCTATGGTGAATTTTTGATTTTTCCCAATTCGCTTGCTGGAGGGGGCATCCATTCTCCTCTAGCCTCTGCCTCTTCTCTTTGACTCACAGCTTCCAGAGTTTTCCCAGTCTCCGAATAAACACACACACACACACACACACACACACACACACACACACCAATGCAGTGTCTCTGTATTAATTGTTATTCTGCCTCATGCAACTTACTGAAAAGCTAACCTATTTGGGTTTGCAAAGACCCGATTCGGGTTTGCAAAGACCGGGTGATTCCAATGGATCCTCCCCCCCCCCCAATCTCCTTCTCTAAGGAAAAGTTGCTCCAATTCTAACAGTGAAGCAGAATAACATACCCATGGCAGGGGCTGATTATGACAACTGAAAAGTCCTGGACGTGTTCAAAAGTGCATCCCCCACTTCTCTCTTTTTCTTGCTCACTTTTCTTGTGTGTGAGAAAGAAAGGGGGAGAGGTGGCAGGGGGGCGACTATGGCAGGAAAAGTAGGGATCAAAAGAAGTGGCCCGGTGGCCAGGCTTGCCAGATAGACAATGGCAGGCTACAGATAGGCAAGCAAGGGTGCGTGTGGGGTGCTCCTTACAGCCGCTAAATAAGTGGCCCAGTGGAGAGGCAAGGGTACATGCGGGTGGGGGGGAAATTAAGGCACCCCTTGAAAAGACAGGCTAGCTGTTTTTTCGGGGGTCTAAAGAAAATAAGGCCCAGCCTTATTTTCTGAGAAACATGGTATGTATATATAGAATTGTTTACTGAAAATTGTAGCATGTTTTTGTTTGTTTGGGGGAGGAATAAAGCTAAGTTGAAGTTATTCTAAACTGAAGATTTTTGCACACGTTTCAAAGCCCTCCTCTCAAAACTATCCATTTTGTCTTTCTATAGTAATATATTTCATTGATGCCTATCAAGATGTACCTAAATTCAAGGATTAGATTAGAAAAAAAGAATGAATAGGACATTATTTTATTTGTTGGGAATGAATGAACCATTTGGTCTAATAAAAGCATTCTGTTCTTTTCTCATTTCTTTTTGGTTGGAACAAGTTGTCATTTCCCTTGCCTACAAAAGTCACAGAATGCTGCAATTTTTCCCTGCAACAGAAACATGGAAAAGTTACCTCTAACATTGTCTGGTAAGGTTTCTTCAGATCCATTATGTGGAGGCTTCCAACAACAGGTAAAGGCCTGGGTCCTGGTGGAAAATCTTTGGAGCTCTTCTTCCAGGGGTTTCCCATTTTGAAAAGGAGCAACATGATAAGTGTAGATAAAAACAGTATTGAAATAGAAACAATCCAATCCATTTCTTTTTAATTGGCAAGTTCTTTTGTGGTTCTAATAAAAAGTTTGCCACACAATACGATCAAGGAGAGTGTCTGCCAACTGAAAAGGTCCAAATAGAAGCATTAAATTCTTGACTCAAGCCGAAAGCTAATATTAATTGAAGGAATTGACCCCTTAAAGTTAGAAAGGCAGACCAAGTATCTCACAGTCATCCTTTGCTAATGATTAAACTATAGCAAATAAGATATTTTGGAGATGTACCAGAATTTTCCTGGCATTCCTCCATTTAATTCTTTACAGGTATGGAACCGTGAACACATTGAGTAAACACTCCTCACCAGTTAAATCCCAAAAAAAGGATGAGGGGAAAAATGCTCTTTTACTTGAGCCATTTGAGCGTCATGTCTTTCTCTGATTTTTTTCCTATACTCGCAGGGATTCTTATGCTTTATGTCTGGATACATATTTTCAGACCAACTTCAGAGTTATCCAATAATGATTCAGTTTTGCTTCTTATATGTTTAAAGAGTACTTGGTTTAAAAAGATCCCTTGGCCTACACAAGAGATTGCCAGTCTAGTGTCTACTGAGAGGAAGATATCCGTGGATCTCATTGGTGGCCCAACTTAATCGCTCTCCATAGGTTTAGACTTCAATTTCCATAATCTCCTAAGTAGAATTAGCATAGATGTATCAGATGTGGGGTGGTAGAGGAAACTGTCCAGTTACACATATTTACAAACATTCTTTAACATAAAAATGGTGGCTGATTGCAATTCTTTTTTTCATTGGGATGAAGTGGTTTTTAGGCTCGTGCCTCAGCATGCATTTTTTCCAATGAGACAGACCAAGATTGACAGATCATTTAATTACAATTTATTAGAATATTCTGATAAAAGGGATTCCTCTCATTCAAAGAGGGAACCCAGATCTTTACATTCCATTTTATAGCTAATATATTAAAGAAAATTCAAGAGAAAAATTTATTGGACAGGATAAAAGAAACCCCTCCTTTGCACTGTAAATCAGCTACATGTAGTCAAACATGTTACATGTATATCCATTTAAATGAGGTCTGATGACAGAAGGGGCATACATTTTAAGATGTTAATAAGGAAAAATGTTGTTTAGAGTTTATGAAGAGATAAATTGGACATCACTTAGCAGTAATAAACTTTCTCTTATCAGAAAACATTATGGTAAGTACCTAAAATGCATCATAAATTGTATACATTAATATTCAGATGACCACTGAATATTAATTTATAGTTAATTTGTTGCATTTTATTCTATAAAATAGGCAGAAAAAAACTAAGTGTGTAACAAGCATTATTCAAACACACACAGAAAATATCTAACAGTTTGATGTTTTAACAGAAACAACAAACTCCATATTTAATCAGGAGCTTTAAAATGGACGTAATGAAGAGCCAAGACCGAGCAAAGATTACAGCTCTGCTGTTGCAAAGGGCTCTATTACTGCCTAACCAAACATTGTTAACAAACAATTAATATACTTTTCTCTCTCAACCATTACTGTTGTAAAGAGGTTTTGTCTAGGACCTAAACAAAACCTCTTTACAGCAGTGATGACTAAGAGGTCTAGGAAAAGATACGTAATTTATAAAATGTGTAGCATTCATCTTTGGAGATTGGAATGAAAGCAAGGAAGGTCACATTAATATTTGGAAAGCAGCTGATTTTGTTTATCTATAGATGTTTGCATGCATGGTTGTCTTTTGAAGTACTATACTGATCATAAAACTGAGAGTTTAAAGGTGCCAAATTCTTACTTATAAATAATTTTAATTCTCTCCTTCTTTAGCCCAGCTATCTATGATTAACTCAACTAGAGGAATTTTTTATCACCCAGATATTTAAAAAAAAAATTAATAAATTTTAGTATAGTTTATGTTATGTATGAGGCATGGGCGTAGAAACGGAGACGAAACTGCTTCTCGTGAACTTCAGCTCTTTATTTAAAGCATGATAACAGAGACAAAAAACCCCCGGTTAGCAGCCGCCCTTTTATAGAGTGAACTGCTATCCGGATGACCAATGGATGTTGTTATAGGGTTTGAACCTCGTCCAATGGGACTCGGCCCGCTAATAGCCAATCAGATTGCTCGGAATGAACCAATCATAACTTGCCATTATATGGGCCAATAGGAAGTGCAGGATTACGATCCTGCTATGCAAATGAATCTTTATTAATTACATTTCTTTAGTTCACAACACCCCTCCCCCCTGGGTTCCGTTTGATGGCCGTGGTGACGTAATCGCGCAGGTATGCAGGTCGTTTTACCTGCCTATTCGATTTTCGCTGTTCCACCAGTTTTTGTTTAAAGTTCGGTTCCGCCGGAACGCAAGGCTCGTCTTCGCACGGGGTTGATTCCGCGGTGCTGTTTTCGATACTATCAGGGTCCCTTAAGTCCATTCCTGGATCGGGCGGGCATGTTTCCACTACGGTGTTCCTCTGTGGGGAGGATGCCCCCGATCCCGGACCTTCTTCAGGTGGCGCGAGTACTCGGTTTAGCGGCCGTCTGTCCTTGATTACGTCGTCGTCTAAACGGCCTTCGTCCCCCTCGGTATTCCCTCCCCCTTGAGTTTGGAAGTCTGGGGGGTCGCGGATATTGGGTTGTAAATGAGATTGAAGTTGATCTATGTGGCGTTTCCATATCTTGCCGTCTGTCGTCTTAAGGCGGTAAGATCTAGGGCCAGTGAGGTAGACTACGGTGGCTGGGACCCAGAACGGTTCGCCGGAAAGGTTTTTGGCATAGACCAAGTTGCCTACCTTGAATTGGCGATACGTTCCGCTGGATCCACAAGGTTTCTCTGGTGAATACGACGGGTGTAATTGGTCGAGGTGGGAGTGAAGCTTCCGCCCCATTAAAAGTTCGGCTGGAGTCTTGTTGGTGACACTGTGGGGGGTAATGTGCTGTAGTAAGAGTATTTTGTTCAATCTAGCGTCAATGTCCCCCGGATCCATTTTTTGTGTCTTTTTAACGAATTGGACCATCCGTTCTGCCCTACCGTTTGCCGCAGGGTGAGCCGGCGAAGTTAAGGCATGGCGGATGCCCTGGTCCGCCAAGTATTGTTCGAAGGTGAGAGCAGTGAACTGGGGTCCGTTGTCGGAAACTAGAACGTCCGGAAACCCGTGTGTTGCAAATAATCTATCTAGTTTTTTAATAACGGAGTCAGTAGTTGTGCTTTTCATCTTGTGGATTTCGAGCCAGTTGGAGTAAGCATCCACGGTTAGGAGAAAAGTGGGTCCTTTAGTGGGTCCCACGAAATCAATGTGGATGCGGGACCACGGGCCTCGAGGAGTTTCCCATTTGGTGGGAATTGCTCTCGGTGGGGCGTTGCTGACTTCTTGGCAGTTTCTACACGTGGTTACCCAGGCTTCAATTTGTTTATCGATGCCTGGCCACCACACGTAGCTTGGAGCTGGGTCGCTGATGGTTTCCGGAAGTGGGGAACGGCTCAAAGCGTCAGCGTGGGGAATGGCTTTCCCCGGGCGATGCTGCAGTACGTAGTTGTAGGCTGCTAGGAATTCTGACCAGCGAGTCATTCTAGGCGACAATATATGCGGCGTTGGTTTATCACCTGCTAAAATGCCAAGTAAAGGCTTGTGGTCTGTAACTAGAGTAAAGGGCCGCCCGTAAACATATTCGTGAAATCGCTTCACGGCCGATACAATAGCAAGAGCCTCTTTCTCAAGTTGGCTATAGTTTCGTTCAGCCTTTGATAATGTGCGGGAAAAGTACGCAATGGGAGCCTCATTCCCGTTTGGTAACACGTGGCTCAAAATGGCTCCAACCCCAAACGGTGACGCATCGGACGTAATATTTAATGGCAAAGTCTCGTTGTACTGCATTAGCACAGCGTCGGAGGTTAATAAGTCTTTCACCTTTCTGAAAGAGCGCTCCTCTTTGTGACCCCAAACCCAAATAGCTTTCTTGTCGAGAAGTCGATGTAAGGGTTTGGCTACTGTTGCCTTGTGAGGCAAGAAGATGTTGTAAAAATTAATGAGTCCCAAGAAGGCCTGGAGATCAGCCTTACTTTTAGGTCTTGGGGTGTTTTTAATTGCTCTGAGTTTGGTCTCGGTGGGGTGAATCCCTTGTTTATCGAGGAGATACCCAAGAAACTCCACCCGCTCAGTACACAGTTGACACTTATTTTTTTTTTTATCTTGAGGCCGGCGTCTTTGAATCTATGCAGAACCAGTCTGAGATGCCGTTCGAGCTCTTCTCTATTAGAGGCAGCAATTAAAACGTCATCAAAATACGGCACAACCCCTTTTATGCCTTGCAAAAGTCTCTCCATTAGACTCTGAAATATCCCTGGGGCTACACTCACTCCAAACTGGAGTCTGTTGCATTTAAAGGCACCTCAGTGTGTAACGATAGTCTGTGCCTCTGCGGTTTCCGCATCAACGGGTAGTTGTTGATATGCTTGCGCTAAGTCCAACTTTGCGAAGATCTTCCCGCCGCCCAGGGAGTGGAGAAGATGTTGAACCACAGGCACCGGATAAGCGCTCTGTTGGAGTGCGTGGTTCAGGGTGGCGCGGTAATCTCCACAAATTCTAATTGACCCATCCGGTTTGATGGGGGTTACGATTGGGGTTTCCCAACGGGCATGGTCCAAGGGGCTCCAACACCCCTTGGGCTATTAACTTATCAAGTTGCTCGTCGATCTTGGGTTTAAGGGCGAACGGCACCCGACGAGGCTTAAGGCGGATACTTCTGGATTGAGGCTAAATGATATAGGGGTCCCCTTGTACTTGCCTAAGTTGTCCGAAAACACGTCCTGGAATTCTTGGACGATGCCCTCTTCCCAATCGTCGCTCTCGGCATGGTGAATGCCGGCTAATTCAATCCCTAGTGGGGTGAACCATTGTAGGCCTAGCAAGCTGGGCCGGTTACCATCGACAACAGTCAATGGAAGTGATGCACTACGATTTTTGAAAGTTAGTTGGACTTGAGTCAAGCCGGCGACTGGAATCGTGTTCCCCTGGTAATCCCTGAGGACGATCTTCTGGGTGCTGAGATCCTGACGACGGATGGCAGGGATGAGTTGTTTGAGGGTCTTCCAGGAAAC